ATTAGTCGCAGATTGATCTTTACATAAATAAATAAATAAATTTATATTTTAGGCCCGGAGGGCCTCGTCATCTTGTTCTTCTCACGCGCAAAGAAATGCGCGTACTGTGTGATTAATCCACCAATTAGAGCTTGAAAGGGCAGTCACTTTCGAGGTAGACAAATTTACTGGTTGACCTCGATCTAGGTTTCGTATGAATTTCGAAAGTGACCGCTATTTGGAGCGCTAAGCGGTGGATTAAGCAAAAGTGTACACGCAAGTTCAGAGCCCTATAAATCAACAGCAAAGGCATCAATGCAAAGAAATAATAGATGTGAAACTGCCACAAGTTAGCGGCAGGAACGCGAAACCGGAATATCGCATCACACGCAACAGAATAATATATTCCAGGCGTTACTATTAAAAATTACTGAAGAAATCAAAGGCATTGCCTGCTACCCTAAGTATACTGAACTATTCCAAAAATAAATGAAAATATTTAGTCAGTACTACGAACTGAGCCAATTAGATAAATTCTTAAGAGCCACGACTTGTAGCCCCGGTAGCTTAGTCGGATAGAGCGCCGTACTTATAATGCGGAGGTCGGGAGTTCGAGCCTCCCCCGGGGCACGGTTTTGCCTCGGCCTTCGACTGAACGATTACGACCGGAACCTTTATGATGCATGACTTTTCAGATTTAAATACCCTATGAAGTTCAGATGACCCAAAGCCGAAGCTACTTCGACGTAGCCGAAGTACAGCATTTACTCTCGGGAGACGTGTTGCAAAGTAATCGAGGTCATTAAAAAGGCGTGAAAATTCAATTTCACTATACCAGGTTATTAGATAAACGATTTTATTATGTGAGTAGCTGATATTAAGGGGGAGAAAACGAACTTCAATGTCAAGGGTGTTAACTGATCAAAAATATTTTTCGATTTATTGAATCATGAAACAGTGCGACTGACGTTAAACAACTTTGGTTAATAACCTTAAGGTGATTTTTGGCGGCAAACAGCAGTAGATGTTAGAAGACATTATAATTAAGTAGGCAAAGGGTTAAAACTTGAAAGTTATACAAGTTTATAGCACTTACTGACTACCAGTCGGTCAAAATGCAAGTGAAAATTGAAATCGTGGGATTATACTATGCGATCGCTCGGGGCACCTGGGTATGCAAACCTGTCCTCTAATTACGCCCTTGGAGGAGCAAGTCGACCTTTGGATTACGTAATAGAATGATCGAAAAAATATTGGCGAACTGTGATCTCCATACCTTCGGAAATCCGCCCTGCGGTAAGTAGTTTTCCAGGCCGTCCAGTACAGTCTGACCCTTCAGATCCACAGCCTACAAAACGCGAATAAACCTTCAGACACCTAATAACAGTCAAATCGGATAAAGTTAGCGAACTAAAAGACTGAGCACAAGAAAATAATAGCCAGTAGAACAGAAAAGCAACAGTTTGTGACGATAATAATGTTTG